GAATGAATAACTTTCTTTTTAGTTTTAAATTTTACTACAACATAGTCATTACTTTTTAATGCAGAACAGTCGTAGTCCAGACTTGGGCCTTCTGCTGTCAACTGAGGATTGCTTGCATCACCATCACTGTCATCACTTTCTAGTGTTCCAAGATAATCAACGCTTGACATGGCTTTTGTTTTTTTTACTGTATCGGATGTTCGTTTTTTTTTATTCACACTTTTTTCTTTTGCAAGAAAAATTTCATGTTTAACTGGAGTGTCAGTTAAAATTCTTGTTTTTTGTTGCCTGTTCCGAAATAGCTTTTTTCTGGCTGAAGCCTTTGGAAATGGTTTCAACACTTCTGGTGATATTGGAAAGTGAATATTAGATTGAACCATGTTAACATCATCAGTCTGTAAAAAAATATTCTGTTTTCAAATAAAAATCGTATCTTGCAGTTTTGCTAAATTTAAGCATCAGACAAGAATTTTTAAAATATTTAAGAAATAGTAATTTTTTTTGACAAACTTGTGGATTTGAAGTCATTTGTTCTGGTTCTCCATCATCAGCTAGAACCATTTGTGATGGCTCCACATTATTGGATGTAGCTGTTACTCCATAAGCACTGTTGTCTGTGTCCATTTCTGTAGCAGGTGTATGGCGATCTGTAACCGATGCTGCTAAAAAATCATCTGTAAAAATGTCCGGATTGTAAGGTTCTATGCCAGCGATTCGGAATCCAGATTCTATATTCGATTTTGCAAAAGCTTTAGTATATGCTTCCCGAACAATTGGTACAATATCATATATTGTCAGTGGTCTTGGGTTACTGACCATCCAGTTGTCACAAGCCGTATTGTAGTATTTCTTCAGAGGACCAAACACGGCTCTATCTAAAGGCTGCAATTTGTGGCTGCAGTGGGGTGGAAAGCTGAGCATTATAATACCATGTGATTTTGCAACATCTAAAGCCGCAACTGATATATGGCTTTCATGGTTATCCAATAACAGTAAAGTAGGGTAGTCAAATGAAGCCTTTGAGTGTTTTATGAAATGTTTCAATCACTCCACAAAAATGTCAGAACTCATCCAACCAGATGGATTTGCAAATCCCGACACAACCTCGAGGACCATCTCTTATCATGAACTCTTTGAAGTTGACACGAGGAAAAATAAACAAAGGTGGTATGGAATTACCAATTGCATTTATAGCACAGCATACTGTAATTAATTTCCCTCTTTCCTGAGATGTCATCCTTCCGACTTGTTTCAATCCTCGACCGGCTATAACTTTAACAGGCTTTTGCACAGTTGTGAGTCCAGTTTCATCTACATTGTATATGTTCTCCGGACCAAAGTTATGCCTTGCACGAACCTTGTGAAGATTTTTGAAGAATTCACTGACATTATATTTATTGAATGCTGTTGCTCTTGCCAGACTAGTCGCTTCAGCTGCACGTGGTGACAACTCGGGTCTTCTTTTCATAAAACCCTGGAGCCAATCAATACCAGCAGTTTTTTTCATTGACCATGAAGATGGGCATGTTATATTATTCGCAACGGCCATATCATATGCGAACTGGCGAGTTGTTTTGGTGGATAGTCCATAGTTCATCTTAGATGCTTGCAGCAAATACTTTGCAAGCATCTCTTCTTGTTCTAAATTGAATACCTGCCTTGTATTCCAATTCGGTATCAAACCTACACTTGGACTGAGACTACTCTTCCGAACATATCGCTTCAATGTCATTCGGTCAATTCCAGTTTCACGTGCAACAGCATTGATAGCTCTGTTCTTTTTCAGAACTTCATCAACTGCTGTTCTCATCACTTCAACAGGTGTTTTACCTCGATTAGTTTTTCGCTCCCGATATCTCACCATTATGAAACCAAACCTGCAAAGTACACAAATTACATTTTACAATAATGGAAAAATAGCATTTTGCATGGTTAGAGAAAAATGACTAAACATCCTGGAGAATTATTATCTGAGGACAGTAGGGGCACTTTGATCTTCAGATCAACGTACCCCTTACTAGTACAGATCAAGGAGCCCCCATGGCATGGAGCACACTATAATGGCGATATCTCATCAATAAGTTGTGATTGAAAATCGAACTAAATAATAAAATAAGCCTCTGACATATCTTTACACATTGCAAAATTTAATTTATCAAACAAATATTTATCTGATTTTTAATTTACAAAACTAACCTGTTGTGAATAGTTGGTTTTTCCCTGTAAAATCAAACTTACTAATTTTTCGAACTTCAGCGGCAGAAAGTCCATAAACAAATAGGATTAAAAGTAGAATAGAAACAAAAGGAAAACTAAAATAGTGATGGCCTACATTTATATTTAGAAATAGCTATGTTATTGCTTAAAGATCAATGTGCTCCAGAGATCAATGAGCCCCCATCTCCCCTACCCCAAAAATTTTAATTTTAAAAAATAGAGGGGATGACCAGCCCTGGGCAACTTAGACGTTCTTTCCACAACTATAAAAACTTTTGCTGTCTGTCTTTATATTTTCTGCCAGGTTTTTTCAAAAGTCCATATAGCTTTTTTTCTTGTTGCACAAAAAGTATTTTAAATCTTACTATTTGATGATCACTAGAGTGGAAGTGTTCTCCAACATCAATGTCTTCTATCAGATGGTTCACTGGCGTAATTACCAGTTGTTTTATCTACCACTTGAAT